CCTCAGCCCCCTCTCTCTTCCCGAACGTGCCCACGGGGCAACCTGGCATCAGGGCCAGAGTTCAGTGAGCGAACATGGGATGCAAATACGGCCTCAGTTACTCTTTTCTTTTTTTAATTGACTCACCATGAGCTACAGTTACAAGCTCTCATGTTTGAGTTTGAATCATGCAATGATCAAACACCCATCCCCCCACCAGTGCACATTCCCCACCACCAATGTCCCCAGTATTCCCCCCCTCCCCTTTCCAACTTTCCCCCTGCCTCTGGCAGACAGTTTCGCTCATACTTTCTCTCTACTTTGGGGCATTATGGTTCGCAATACAGATACTGAGAGGCCATCACATTTGGTCCTTTATCTACTTTCAGCACACATCTCCCATCCCAAGGGATCCCTCCAACCCTCACTGGCTTAGTGATCCCTTCTCTATCCCAGCTGTCTTCTCCCGCAGCTCATGAGGTAGACTGCCAACTATGGGGCATTATTCCTGGCCCTTGTCTCTACTGTTGTTGGGTGACAGTCTCATTGTAATTTTATGTCCCACAAATGAGCGCAGTCCTTCTGTGTCTGTCCCTCGCTTTCTGACACATTTCACTTTTAGCATGATGCTCTCCATGACCTTCCACTTATAAGCAAATTTCATTACTTCATCTTTCCTAACAGCTGCATAGTATTCCCTTGTGTAGATGTACCAGTGTTTCTTTAATTTTGAGAGGACATCATGTTTGGTCCTTTATCTACTGCCAGCACACATCTCCCATCCCAAGTGATCCCTCCAACCATCATTGACTTAGTGATCCTTTTTCTATTCCAGCTGCCTTCTCAATTCTCAGCAAAGCGGGCATGGAAGGAACTTTCCTCAGTATAGGCAAAGCCATCTACCACAAGCCCGCAGCAAGCATCATTCCCAATGGGGAGAATCTAAAAGTCTTTCCTCTAAGATCGGGAACAAGACAAGGTTGCCTGCTCTCACCACTCCTATTCAATATAGTACTGAAGCTCTATTCAATATAGCAGTTAGGCAAGAAAAAGATACCAATGGCATCCAGATAGGAAAGGAAGAGACCAAGCTATCACTATTTGTAGACGATATGATAGTAAGGCATCAGTTTTGGGGCCACATTCAGAAGTCAGCAGGGCCTACTCCTGGCCCCTGTGCCCCCGGAGACCCCCGAATGAATGGTAGGGCCAAGCCACCATCTCCTGTGTCAGTGGAGCATTTGCAGAATGGTTTCAAACCCCCGTCCTCGCCTCTTCACGCTGAGCTGAAATCTGTTCACTCTCGAGACTTTGGTTTCCTTCTGTCGGGGCACTGTCATGGACACTGTGGGAAGGTTCCAGAATCCCCAGGAGTTTCCATGGGCTGAGGCTTGAGCCGTGCTCCTGACTCAGCATCCTCTGTGTCTGCTATTCCACCCTGGCCCCGGCCCTGTGGACGGTGTGCCTGCCCTGCCCGCCTCTGCCCTCCCCATCTCCCCGCCACCACTGACCCGCCTCGCCGTGGGGGACAGACGTACCCCCAGACACACTCCCCAGGAGGTCTCAGCTCTGCCCAAACGCTGCCTCCCCCTGCATCCTCAGGGTCCGAAGGCCCTGCCCAGCCTTCTCTGGGCCCCATCTTTCATGCCACCCGCCACATCTCTTCACTCCCCATCCTTCTAACCTCTGACTTCCAGGACTGCTCACACACTCAGGGCCAGACTGCTCACTGTTCCCGTCCCTTCTCGGCCCTGTGTCACCGTGTGTCTCTTCCTTCCTCCCCTGTGTCTGAGCTGAGGCACCCAGTGGCCTTCCTGGAGGAGGTGTGGCTGCTGTGCCTGGCATCAGCAGGCCGATCCATGGCAGGGTCAGCGCTGCCGGGCTAGGGGAATCCTGGGTCCCGGCGGTGCCCTCTAGGGTGACATTCCTGCGTCTCCTGGGCCCCCGGGGGAAGTCAGTCATGCCCCCTGCCCGCCGAGCTATGACCAAACTGCTGCATCCGACGCTCTGAGCGTCCAGCTTGGGGTCTGCCCTCCACACAGCTGGAATCAACCCCACGCGAGACTTTCCTAACACGCAGCTCCGGAACCTTCTGGTGCCCTCTCGGGCCACCCACAGTTCCTGGGGGATTGGAGGCAGACACATGGGGCACGGCACGAGGCCAGATGGTTTGGCCCCAGAGAGATTAGCACAAGAGAGTTGGTCCCACATGGATTGGCAAAAGATAGTTTGGCCCAGGATAGATTGGTCCCAGGTTGTTTGGCCTCACCCCTGCCCGGTTCAGAACACCCAGGCAGGCCTCAGGGCTGCCACGTCCCTGCCACTCCCTCGAAGCCTACAGGCTTGCAAGGGCTTGCACTCTCGGTGCCTCTCCTTACGCCCAGCATCCCCAGCCCCCGCCGGCAGCAGTCAGGCAGCGACCCTTGTGTCCACCCGACCCTCGGACCCAGCGCCTCTCCCGAGATGCGTCTGCTCTGGAGACGGAACGTGTGCACCAAAGTCGCGCCCCTCCTCCTCCTGTGGCTGCCCCCTCACACCCCCTCCCCCCACACGGCCACCCAGACTCGGGCTCAAACACAACCCCCCCCGACACAGCTCCCCTGAGCCCTGCACACGGGGCACTGAGTACTACCCCTTCCCGGGGCTGCCTCCCAGTCCTGTTCTGCGATGCTCAGACAGAACCAACTGTTCTCCCGGCGGCTGCCAAGACAAGCCAGCCAGAGACAGGGAAACAGCAGCCGTGGAAAATCACTGGGAGGCAGAGGGGGGACGGTGGGGAGGGGGCAGGCGTGCAGGGCAGCCACGTGGCAGAGGGACCCAAGGGAACCTCAGCCCAACCTCTTGGCCTGCCGCGCTCCCTGTGATGTCTCTCGCAGGTGGTCTGTGGTGTGGACATGGCGGCAGGATGCGGGGGCAGCCACGGCATGGCCACTTGGTGTCCCCAGCCCTGCTGAAACCTGTGAGTCTTCAGGACGGGGCAATCTCACGGCTGACGGGCTGGTGTTGGGGCATCTCCAGGGGTCTCTGGCCTCAGAGACGGCGGCTTTGGGAGGTGGCTGCCCCCGTCAGAGCCTGTGCTCCCAAGCCCGTGAGTGACAGAGAAGCAGCTCAGCACAGTGAGGTGTCCAGAGGTGCTTGTGGACATGGTGCCTGAGAGGGGGTGAGGGGCGCTTGGGCATGGCTGGGAGGGCATTCCAGGCCTTCTGCTGACTGGCTTGAGTCACTCATCATTACTCACTTGGTGACATGCTGGAATTGCTTTCTGAAAAACATTCATGGTGTAGCCGCTAGAAGGAAAAGCATTGGGAGAATTCCTCCCTAGGGAACCCCCAAAGCTGCCAACCCAACCCTAATCCTTTTGCAAAACCTAACCAAACCCTAAATAGACTAATCCTAACCCACCTTTGGGAAAACCTAACCCAACACTAACCAACCCAAACTCTACCCAAACCAGAGCCCTGACACAGCCCAAACCCTAACCCAACACTAACCTGACCCAACCCTACTCTAATGCAACACTGACCAACCCTAGCCCCAACCCAGCCTTAACCCTACCCTGTCAAATCCTAACCCACCCCTACCCTACCCCACTACCACCCTAACCCCACCCGTACCCTACCCAAACCCTAACCCTAACCTCACCCCTAACTAGCCCTAACCAAAACCCTAACCCCACCCCCACCACTACCCTACCATAATCCTAACCCCACCCCTACCGTAACCCTAACCCTACCCAAACCCTAACCCTAACCCCACCCCTACCTTAACCCTAACCCCTACCCAAACCCTAACCCTAACCCCACCCCTACCTTAACCCTAAACCCTACCCTAACCCTAACCCTAACCCCACCTCACCCCTACCCTAACCCTGTTCCCCTCATGGATGACCTGATAATCTGTCTGTCTGGGAGCTTCAGTTCTGGATGCATCCGGCTGAGAGGGGTGGGGGGGGAGAGAGGGCAGGTGTAGGGCGCTGGCCTTGCATATCGCCGGCCTGGTTTGAACCTGACAACCCACATGATCCTGGCACCATCCCGAGCACAGCCGAGCACTGTGTGGGGAGCTGCCAAAGACAACCTGGCAGAAAAGAAGCGTGTTGGCTAAACATGCCATGTGAGACAATACCCAGCATCTGATTCATAGGATAGTTAAATGGCAGTGGAAATGGAATATTTAAGTATCGTGATGGAAAACATAATTTTCCACTGGCAATAACACCTTTCCTAGAGCGGGTGGTTGTGCTCAGCTGCCGGATGCCTTGCTCCGGGGATTCCGTGCACCTTTCCCATGCGTGGACTGTTCCCTTTATAAGCCGAGGGAAGAAATGGTCAAAGCAGGATGAGGGGTGGCTCTGGCCGGGCGCTTTGGGGACGGGTCATCTCCCGGTGGGGCTCTGGGGTCACGCTGCTCCCTATCGTGAGTGACTAGCCAGGCACAGGGCCACCCGGCCTGGGGCACCATGAGGGTTTGCGCTGCCCGTGTGTGTGTGTGTGAGTGTGAGTGTGTGTGTGAGTGAGTGTATGTGTGTGTGAGTGCGGAGGGAGTGTGTGAGAATGTGTGTGTCTGTGTGTGAATGTGTGTGTGAGTGTGTGTGTGACTGTGTGTGAGTGTGTGTGTTTGTAAGTGTGTGAATGTGTGTGTCTGTGAGCCTGTGAATGTGTGTGAGTGTATGTGTGAGTGTGTGAATGTGTGTGAGTGTATGTGTGTGAGAGTGTGACTGTGTGAGTGTGTGAGTGTTTACGAGTGTGTGAATGTGTGTGTGTGAATGTGTGTGAGTGTATGTGTGAGGGTGTGAGTGTATGTGTGTGAGTGTGACTGTGAGAGTGTATGTGTGTGAGTGTGTGTGAGTGTATGTGTGTGAGTGTGTGTGAGTGTGTTTGTGACTGTGTGTGTGTGTGTGTGTGTGCAGAGCCCCCAGCACAGGGCTGAAGTACAGGGTGCTTAGAGCCCCGGAGCTCGCCCTGGAGCTGCTTTTCTCCCCTGCCCTTCCCGTGCTGGTCCGAGCGTGGACTGTGTTGCAGATGGGCGCCCGGAAGGTGTTCCTGCGGCACTGGCATACGGAGCAGCTCGGCGCCCTGAGCCTGCAGCTGCAGAGAAAGACCATCACCTGCCAAAGAGGTAACCACGCCGCCTACACAGCCAAGACCACGCCTGCCCCCTAGAGAATCAGCGACACGCCCATGCGGGCGGGCTGGGCGTACAGGCCAGAAGGGATCACTGGGGTTCCCTGAGCGGGACTGAGGCTGTGGATGGGCCCTGAGCTCCTGTGCGGGGGTGCTAGTGACAAAAGCAGGGCTCAGACCCCAGATCACTCAGGACCCCCAGACCCATTCAGGAATCCAAGATCTTCTCAGGAACCCCCAGACCCACTCAGGAGCCTCCAGACCCACTCAGGAACCCATAGAACCTCTTAGAAACCCATAGAACCACTCAGGAACCTCCAGACCCACTCAGGAACCCCCAGTCCTACTCGGTGACCCCCAGACCCACTCAGGACCCCCCAGGCCCACTCAGCAACCTCCACTCAGGACCCCCCAGACCCACTCAGGAACCCCCAAACCCACTCGGTGACTCCCAGACCCCCCAGACCTACTCAGCAACCCCCAGGCCCACTCAGGACCCTCCAGGCCCACTCAGCAACCTCCACTCAGGACCCCCTAGACCCACTCAGGAACCTCCACACCCACTCGGCGACCCCCAGACCCACTCAGGACCCCCCCAGACCCACTCAGGAACCCTCAGACCCACTCAGTGACCCCCAGACCCACTCAGTGACCCCCAGACCCACTTTGAAACCCCCAGACCTACTTGGTAACCCCCAGACCTACTCATGACCCCCCAGACCCACTCAGGAACCCCCGAACCTCCCAGGGCGCCTGTATCCATTCAGGAACCCCCAAACCCACTCAGTAACTTGAGATCTGCTCAGGGACCCCCAACCTGCTCAGGGTCCAGAGCCGGGTGCCAGGTCCCACCACAGCCCCTGTGGGCCGTTGCTCCCTCGTCTCCCTGGGGGTGGCACTTCCGCAGCTGGCCTGGCTGGGGAGAGGTCGGGGCTTCTGGAGGTGGCTCGGGGCAGCTGGCCTGAGTATGAGGCAGGGGCCCCAGGTTCCCAGACACGCAGCATCAGGGCCTGCCCTCCACGGCCTCCATCCCTGCTGGACAGCTGGGGGTAGGGGTGACTCAGCGAGGATACCTGGGTCCCCCCACTGGGATAGGGGAAGTGCAGGGTCCCCAGCCCCCCACCACTCCTGGCCTCCCCGTGGCACTGGCCCTGCTGTGGCGTCCAGCCTCATGGTGTCGGCTTGCCAGGACCACAGGGACGGTCCTTCCCCTGCATGCCCCGCCCCGCCTCACCCCTCCCTGCAGTCCGATGCTTGCTAGACGCACCTTCTCCCAGGGAATAGCACATTCCTGGGCCCGAGAGAGGGTGGCAGAGAAGGTGCCACACAGGCCTACCTCGGTCACTTCGGGCCCTACGTGTGGTCCCCTGGCCCCGGCAGGAGTGACCCTGAGCAGAGCAGGAGCACAGACACCACTGGGTGGCCCACAGTCTCCTCCATTCTAACAACCCCTTTAACTCAGAAAGGTGGGAACAGAAGTGAGGGGACCCCAGAGGCCAGAGACACCCGGGGTCCCTGCCCTCCCCTCAGTGCCCCCCCCCCACCGGTGGGCATCCTGGCGGGAAGCTCCCAGCCTGGTTCACAGCCCGCGATTCCCTGTCTCGGGAAGAGTGTGTCACCCCCCCGACCCTCCCACCTGGGGTACAGGTGGACACAGCCACTCGTTTGTCATGGCCAAGTGTGGCCTCATGCCTCAGGGCTGCAAGTGTCCACTGCTACGGTCACCACAGCGCAGCTAGCCCCCTTGCTCCCTGCTCCCCCGCCCCCAAGGACAGGAAGGGCGTTCCGTGGCTCACTACAGCACTGGGAACACAACGTGGCAGGATGCTGAGCATCGTGTCGGCTCTTGTGATCTGGCACCACGCCCCGAATTCCCGGAGGGGTGGACTCACGTTTTCTCATTGGTCTGTCAGCATCAGATAGATTGAGGAAAGAAGCATAGTGAAATATATAGGTAAATGCACGTGTTACAGCCCTGTGACTGTGAGATTAGAATGTTCTAGAATGTTCACCTCAAGGATACAGCACTGGAGGTCTATCACTCCTGAACTCAAAGGCCTGGTTATGTGAGATTAGAATGTTCTGGAATAAAGGACACAGGGCTATAAGTGGCTCATTCCTGGTCTTACACCCTCTTTATGTGAGATTAGAATGTTCTAGAATGTCCAAAGATACAGGACTGTAGGTAACTCATTCCTGACCATACAGCCCTCTTTATGTGAGATTAGAATGTTCTGGAATCAAGGACACAGGACTGTAGATGACTCATTCCTGACCTTACAGCCCTCTTTATGTGAGATTAGAATGTTCTGGAATCAAGGACATAGGACTGTAGATGACTCATTCCTGACCTTACAGCCCTCTTTATGTAAGATTAGAATGTTCTGGAATCAAGGACACAGAACTGTAGATGACTCATTCCTGACCTTACAACCCCCTCTTTATGTGAGATTAGAATGTTCTGGAATGTCCATGTCAAAGACACAGGATTGTAGGTGGCTCGTTCCTGACCTTATACCCCCCTTTATGTGAGATTAGAATGTTCTGGAATCAAGGACACAGGACTGTAGGTGACTCATTCCTGACCTTACAGCCCTCTTTCTGTGAGATTAGAATGTTCTAGAATGTCCATGTCAAGGACAAAGGACTGCCGGTTCATTATTCACGTGAGACTGGACTGTTTTCTGTGGCGGCCAGCTGGGGGTGGCTGTCCCTCGGGCCTGGCCCTTCCCGTCCCTGACCCCCTCTGTCCCTTGCGCCTGGCCCTGCCCGCTCCTGACTCCCTCTGTCTCTTGGCAGTGATCAGAGGCTTCCTCGCTCGCCGCCGCTTGCTGCACAGAAGGACCAGCGGGCACCGGGAGGCCACGTCCATCCACAGCTTCCTGCAGGCCACCGAGGCGCTGGGGCTGAGGACCTACGAGGCGCTGGTGCTGCAGAATGCGTCCGACGTCGCCCGCGAGGAGCACCGGCTCAGGAGCGCAGCGGAGAAGCTGGAGGCCAGGCTGGCGCCGGAGGAGGGAGGCAGACGGTAAGGCCTGCGGGAAGCCCCGTGGCCTGGCACGGCGGGGGGTGGGGGGTTGGGGGGTGGGAAGGGGGAGCGGCGGGTGGCCAGGCTGGGCCTTCTCCCCTCTGCCTCCTCCCGAGACCCCTGCCGTGATCCCGGCCCCTGGCCGTCTCTGCTCGGTGCTTAGAGCGAGGTTCTTGCCCCTGCGGCCACAGCAGCGCAGAGACTGAGAGAGGACAGAGGCCTTGCGCCTGCTATCCCTGAGCAGACCAGCAGTACTCACCGTCCCCTGCACACCGCCGGGAGTCAGCCCTGAACATGACTGGCGGGTCCAAGACCCCTGGCAAAAATAAAATTAAAAAATGGGAAAAAAACAAACAAACCTGGGAATCTGAGCCCCAAAGGGAAGAGACCCCGGCAGCCACACACAGGGTGGGAGGGGGCTGGGTGAGCTCTCGGGGCCCTCTGGGAGCTGCAGGAGACCCTGGCCGGGGACTTAGCCCTCCCCGGGGCCCGCTTCCCTCTGAAATCTACTGCCCAGAGATGCTGTTTTTTTTCCCACGGGAATGCGGTCCTAATTGTCTCTCTTGGAAAATGGGCTCTCTTGCCTTTGCAGCGATGTCAAATGATTTCTTTCTATTAGGTGGCATTGTGTCTCTGGCTTAATTAGCTTCAAATATTTCCTTGATTAAATACCAAAAACACCACCCTACCTTTGTATGGAAAACTGTAATTAAACATTACAGGGAAACAAATTACCCGCGAGTGCCAGGCTTTCATCTCAGGGTTTCCACTGCCGCCCCGGGTGTCGGGCTGTGCTCGGCGGGTTGTGTCACACAAAGATATAATTATAAACACAAACACTCAGGGATCCCGTGCCGGAAGGGCCGGCGCCTGGCTAGCCGGATTCCCCCGATGGGTGGTCCAGAAGGAAGGGTCTGAGGCGGAGAACCATCAGTTTCACCCCACTTCCAGGATAGTGTTTATCGTCCCCCTGCTGGAGGGAACCACCCTCAGTTTCCCAACTTGGCGGCTTGTGGCCTGAGGGGGGAGAGGTGGCGGACATCTCCCTCTCTGCCATGTTCTGGTGGTGCCACGTCCTGGGCCCCAGGCAGGCGTCTGCACAGGCACAAGCACTGGACACGGGGTATGTGTGCCGTGCGGGTCTCCCCGCTGCCGACCCTGAGGAACAGAAGGGAGACGAGGTGATGCTTCCCACGTTGCCTGCAGCGTTGGGTCCAGCGTCCACTTTCATGGGGGAGGAGAGTGATTAGTGCCCTCCTGGATGCACCAGGGGCTCAGTGAAACGGGATCCCCGGAATCGGTCATTCTAGCAGAAGTGCAGGTTTGGGGCTGAGAGCTGGTGCAGCCTCCCCAAGAGGGGGCCTTTGTGTGCGTCCACTCAAGTCTGGGGCCCTCCAAGGTGCTCGTTTCTCCTAAGAAAAGAAGCCTGCAGTGACCCATGAGCACAGAGCCAGGAATGAGCCCCAAGCACCTCTGGGTATGACCCCAAACTAACTGAAGGAGAGACAAGCTCAGGCCGATGCCCACAGGGCTGGGGGTCCGGCTCACAGGAACAGGGTCCACAGGCGGGGGTGTCTGTGTCTGAGTGGGAGGTGGGTTTGGGCGCCCGGAGTCACCTTGTTTCTGGTTTTGCTCCCCAAGCGCTGAAGACAAGGGTGCCCCCCGAGCCCTGGTCGCTGTGGACAGCCTGCTGCAGGCCCTGGCCACCCCGTCCTGCCGCTCCCCGTCACTGCACTCCGTGTTCAGCCTGGATGACAGCGCCGGCCTCCCCTCGCCCCGAAGGCAGCCCCCGCCCAAGCCCAAGAGGGACCCCAGCACGCGGCTGAGCGCCTCCTACGAGGCTGTGAGCGCCTGCCTCTGGGCGGCCCGGGAGTCGGCCCAGGAAGGTGAGGGCCGGGTGGGGCGGGCACACCCTCCTCCCAGAGGGTTCTAAAAGAAAGAAATCCAGCACCTCATCAAGAACTATGAATAACATTGGAATGTCCGATGGAGCCTCTAGGGGAGGCTACTCACCATCAGGACCATACCCCTCCCCCGCACCCCCCCCCCTGCATGGGTCAGCCGCTCTGGAAACCCCTGTGCTTTGTCTGTCCACATGCATGGAAAGGTGGACCCCACCGTGGCCTGTGTGTGCTTCCTGTGACGCAGTGGCCCTTAGCAGGAAGCACACTGACAGCCTGGCCACGTTCAGGGAGGGAAATTTTGCAACCAAATAGCAAAAGGGTGTGGATTGGGGCCTTGCACCTTTTTCTGGAACCAGGGAAGTTTCGGTCCTTCCTCTCCGACCCCGCATATGGCCACTGATGCTCTGTGTCTGCTGAGAGATCTGCTTCCAGAGCCCTGGAAAGCAAGGGCATCACCTGCACACAGTGATTCCCAATCACACTCACATGGACCCTGGGCACAGCCCTGAAGGCCACATCAGCGTGCAACACCGCACAGCCAGAGCACTCCCTTCCTGGACAGAGGGAGCAGGTGGACACACACATGGATACATGTGGGCATATACAGATATGATAACACACGGACACACAGACACACACAGACATGCTAACACACGGACACACACCACTACACGTGGATACACACAGACATGCTAACATCCAGACATAGACACAGGTGGACACACACAAACACACATGGGTACACGTGGACACACAGACATGCTAACACCCAGGAACACCGAGACATGCTAACACATGGACACACAAAGGGTACACATGGACACACAGGCATGCTAACACATAGACACATGTGGACACACACAGACGTGCTAACACATAGACACATGTGGACACACACAGACGTGCTAACACATGGACACATGGGTACACGTGGACACACAGACTTGCTAACACAAAGACACATGGGTACATGTGGACACACAGAGACTTGCTAACACATGGATACACATGGGCACACACACGGACACACATAGACGCACATGGACAGACATGCACACAGACACCCACACGCAAGACTTTGCCCCCCCCCCAGGCTCTCTGTCACCCTCCAGAGCATAGCGCATGTGAGGAGAGGAGGCAGCTGGGTATGGAGGGTGGAAAACCCCGAAAACACAGCAGGACAGAGGGGAGAAGATGATTCCTTTGCAAATCCATGAACCCCAGATAGAAAAAAGGGGAAGAGCCATGGACGCCTCTCTGGGAGGAGATGTGAGAGTTCACGTGGCAGGACAAGCCTGGACAGGAGTTCCCAAGCGCCCTCTCCGGCGTGCTCCCTGAGAGCAGAGCGGGAGTACTCCCTGAGTGCAATGTGGGAGTGCTCCCTGAGTGCGGGAGTGCTCCCCGAGTGCAGAGAGGGGGTGCTCCCTGAGTGCAAGGCAGGAGTGCTCCCAAGTGCAGGGCATGAGTGCTCCCGGGTGCAGGGCAGGAGTGCTCCCTGAGCACCATTGGCCCCCAAACAACCCAAAGCTCCTGAAGGGCGGGCCAGAGAACCATCAGGTAAGGCGTAAGTAAGGCCCAGGTTCTATCCCCAGAACCCCAAAGGGTTCCTCGAGCCCAACCCGGAGTGCTCCCTGAGCATCGTCCGATGAAGAGTGCAGTTGGGTGCCCCCGGGAGGAAGACTGGCCCCTTCACAGGAAGTTCCAGCCCTAGGGTCTCGGACCTGGCACTGGGTCCCCGGACGGTCCCCTTCAGGGTGGTCAGAGGGCAGTTCACAGGGACACCACGTGTAGTGCCAGCGGGAGGAGGGTGCGACCCGGGAAGAGAGGCCAGCAGCCCGAGCAGGGGACAGCAGCCTGTGGAGGGGGTGGCCCACGCTGCGGCCCAAAGTCCCGGCCAGCAAGGAGAGCAGGGTGTGTGGATGGGGGTGGGAGGACTTCAGACTCAGCCGTGTGCCTCGGGGGCAGGAAGGCCGCTCGTTTGGACACTTGTCTGTCAGGGTCCGAGCACTGGCTGGCCCGGCTTCTCTCTGCAAAGCTGCGGGGAGGACACTGGCCCTGTCCCGGGCGTGGTGCTGGGGCTGCCTGGGGCTCTGCTCCCCCACACTGGGCCCGCCGGCCTGTCCAGCTGTGCTCGGCGCCCCCAGGGAATGCACCAGTGTCTGATCCTTCCAGGCCTCGCTCTGCAGAGCTGGGCTCCCGGGGGCCCCTCGCCTCGACCCCTCTGGTCCAGTCCCTTCTCCGAGCTTGTGGGAGGCCGGGTCTGCGGTGCTCATCCCACTGCGCGGCCACCTCTGCTCCGTCACCCGCGAGCCCAGCGCCAGCCTCCAAGGTGCCGCTCTGCGCCAACCTCGCACACTGATGTATTTTTAGCCTGAGTATTTTTAGGCCTTGTTTTCTACTGCCTGAAATCTGAGGGAAATGAGGTCTGGGTGACCCCTGTCCAGCAGCGTGTCACCGGCAGAGCAGAGCTGCCACCGTTCGGCCTCAGGGGCACCTTGGTCCCCAGGACACGTCAGTGTCTCCCATGAGCCTTCCTGTGGGGCCCTAGAGCACACGGGGACGAGAGTGGGCGAGCCAGGCACCGTGCCAGGGGAACAGTGGCCAGGGTGGATGCAGGGGACCAGTCCTGGCCAGCATCAGGGCCCTGCCCAGCCCGGAGTGGTGGACCGGTACTGACCGGTTGGAGAGCAAAGGCCGCGGGGTCCTCTCCCTGCCAGTGGGCCAGTGCAGGTACAGGGCTGCCGTGTTCCTTGGATTCTCTGTGAACTGGCCCCGCCTGTGGTCCAGGATGCCCGGGCAGCCAGCTGACCCCCAGAAAGGCCGTTTCTGAGCCATGGACTCGGCAGTAGGCACATTGGCTCTCATCACACACACACAGACACATGCATACACAAGCACACATACATGGCACTTTAACATACGTGTTCACCAGATATTCAAGTGCACACATGTGTATACATGTCCACAAATATATGCAGGTGAGCATGGATGCATACATACAGACACACACAGCAGGAAGATATTTCCTTGGTGCACTGTGTCATTCCTCTGTTCTCACGGACAAGACGTGAAGGTTTCTTGTTCTCGGCGACCAGGGAGACATGTGTGGTGCCTCAGGGACTCTGTCCAGGGGACGGTTTATGCATGGAAGCGTCCACCCCCAAGGGAACAGGAATGGGCCATGGTCCCAGGACTGGCACACCCAGAAAGCTCCCAAGAGTCGGGTGGGCTGTGGGGCCAGGGTGGGGGTCCTGCCTGCTGCCCACTGTGTTTCTGCTCTCTCCAGCTGGCCAGGGGTCAGCTGCAAGACCGGGAGTGATGCTGAGGAAAGAATGTGAATTATTGGAACAGTCTCAAACCCGCACTTGCAGATGCGTCAAAGATGGGCTTCCATGCAAATGTGCACACACACATAACCACATACGTACACACTCACATGCACAGATACATATACACGACCACACACCCACACTCCCACACACATATCCCTGTAAGCACCCATATTCACTTAGTCACACCCATGCACACTCACAGCCACACACAGTACACAACCACATACTCACACACATTCTCATCATGCACACAGCCACACTCCCACACTCATGCGCCCTCATACACGCATACACACACTTGTGCACTCACACATACTCCAGTGCACTCACACACACACCGCACACATACACACATGCTCATACATACACACACACTTAGACACACACCACACTTATCTACACACACACACACATTTATGCTCACTCATTCACACATCACACACAAACACACGCCCGTGCATCCAGACACACAGACGGCCTCAGCCGCCCACTCCACATGACGACCCTCGGGAGCTGACCCCCCTGCCTCCACCACGTCTTGCCCCTAGTCACAGCCGCCCCAGCTGATGCTGACAAGCTGACCGGTTCCTTCGGACGCCCTGAGGGTGTGGGGCAGTGCCCCAAGGAGAAGCCTTTCCTGGACACCGGGACGGTTTCTCCTGAGACCGGAGGATGCCATCAGCCCCCAGTCCCCTCCAGCTTCAAACCCGAGACCCCTCCTGAAACCCCTTCCTACACCCCCCGCCTCCCCGGGCCCTCTGGAGCTGGGGCCTCAGCACCCACCTATACCCCGACCCACCTTCAAAGCTGCCATTCTCCGGGGTCCTCAGGGGTGTCAGGAACCAGGGTGCTGGGGGTGTTGGGGTGCAGGACGGGGGGATGCCCCAACCTTGCCCGGGTGCTGGAGGGTGTTGGGGTGCAGAACACCCTGACCCCCAAGTGCTGGAGGGTGTTGAGATGCAGGGACGGGGGGACGCCCTGACCTCGCCCTGTCACCCCCAGCCCTCACCCGCCCGCGGCCCCACAGTGACGACTACAGCGCCATGAAGAAGACCCCGCCCCGCAAGCCCAAGCGAAGCCCCCACACCAAGCTGAGCGGCTCCTCCGAGGAGGTCTCAGGCCTGCGGGCGGCCAGGCCCCGAGGCAGCCTGCCGTGGACCCCGGGCAGCGTGGCTGGGCTGCCGGCGACCCCCAGCCCTCACACGCCCCCCGCCCACGAGGATGCAGAGCCCGTGTACATCGAGATGGTGGGGCGAGCGGGCAGCCCCGACCCGGCTGACGCGGAGGCCGTGTACGAGGAGATGAAGTACCCCGTGCCCCCCGCGTCCCCCCCGGAGGAGGCCGGGCCCAACCATGCGCCGGGGACTGCTGGCAGGGACGCGTGGGACATCCCCCCGCCCTTCCCCAACCTGCTGCCCCACCGGCCGCCCCTGCTGGTGTTCCCGCCCACCCCCGTCACCTGCTCCCCTGCCTCCGACGAGTCCCCGCTGACGCCCCTGGACGTGAAGAAGCTGCCGGTGCTGGAGCCCACCCTCAAGTACCCCGTGTCACCCGAGGGCTCCAGCCCGCTCTCTCCACAGTGCTCTAAGCACCACCGAGCTGATGGCGACAGGCCCGTGTCCCCCGGCCTCCTGGTTCCCGGCGGGACGCTCCCTGCGTCCCCGCCGCCCACACCCCCGCCTGCCCCCGCGGCCCCGGCCCCGGGGCTGCCCGCTGCACCCTGGCCACCCACGCATTTCGCCTTCATGCCCGACGCCCCGGCCGGCCCCGAGCTGCCCAAGGCACCCCCCAAGCCATGCAGCTCCTTCTCCAGGCCCCCGCCCTCCCCCGGGAAGGCCGCCCGCCGGGCCAACTCCAACTGCCCCTCCCCAGGGCCCTGCAGCCCCCCCAGTGCCAGGCCCATTGGCAGCCCCCTGGACGAGCTCACTAGCCTCTTCAGCTCGGGGAGGAGTGTCCTGCGGAAGTCGGCAGCCGGGAGGAGGATCCGGGAGCCCGCGGGTAAGCTGGACCCGGATACGGCGACGGGCCCATCTCCACTGGGACTCACCATTGTCCACCCAACCACACAACTGTCCATCTGCCCATGCAGCCCTCACCCATCACCCGTCCATCCACCCATAATCCACCCGCCCACCACCCACCCACCCATTCATCATCTGTTACTGATGACCTGTCACTTAGCTATCTATGGGACCATCTACTCTACAGTCTACCTCTTATCCATCATCTACTTACATCTAGCTATAGCCATCGAGTACCTGTATCCATGTCATCTGTATTGCTTACCAATTATCAATTTATCACGTAGCACTGTAGCACTGTCCTCCCGTTGTTCATCAACTTGCTCAAGCAGGCACCAGTAACGTCTCCATCGTGAGACTTGTTGTTCCTGTGTTTGGCATAGCAAATACGCCATGGGGAGCTTGCCAGGCTCTGCTGTGCGGGCGGGATACTCTCAGTAAGCTTGCCGGGCTCTCCGAGAGGGGTGGAGGAATCGAACCCGGGTCGGCCGTGTGCAAGGCAAGTGCCCTACCCGCTGTGCTATGACTCCAGCCCCAACTTATCATGTACCTATCACTCTTTCCTGTGCCACGGATCCGTCATCTGTCACTACACAGCATCAGTCTCCCTTCGGCCATGGTGACCTCTCGCCTTTACCTTTCAGGCTTGCGCCCCTGTTCTATCTTTTAGCTCTTCCTCCGTCTGTCTCTTGTCTCTCTCTGAGCCCATTTCTGCCCATTGGAAATGGTCGGGTGACGGTAGATCATTCAGAGCAGGCAGCAACCTGAAAGCCCTGGGCACCCCAGATAGCTGAGTGGTAGAACTAATATTTCCATTTTTCAAACAAGGGCTCCTGATACAGAAATAGCTTGGAACTGGATTTCATAAGCATGTTTGGCTTGCACTGAATTTGCTTTGCTGGTTCCTTCTCCAAGAGCATTTCCTGGTGCCAACAAAACGGTCCCTTTGTCCAGCTCTCGGGTCCCCCGGGGACGCCTCAGCCTCTGTCCTGCTGCCCCGTCCACCGCAGGGCCCCTCCCCTGCAGAAGTTCCCTGGGACTTTGCAGGGATATTTTCCTGGTTCCTGGTGCTGCGGAGCCACTCGGTGCTAGGTTCTCTGCCCTGGCCCCCGGCCCCCACCCCCCACCCCGGGGGAACGCGGCTGAGCCCACTCCTGTGTTTGAACATCCCGTCCGTGTCCTTGTTAGACTTGAGTGTCACCGGCACAAGAGTGGGGGAAAGAGCCAGAGAGCTACATGGGGCACGTACTCCCTGTCACCCACTGACCTGGGAGCTGTCCCAGCCCTCCATATTGTTTCCTCTGAGCACCAAGTCAGGAGTAATCCCTGAGCACTGCCCAGTGAGACCCCCGAGCACTGACCCAGGAGTAAGTCCTGAGCATTGCCCAGTGAGCTCCCGAGCACTGATCCAGGAGTAAGCCCTGAGCACTGCCCCAGTGAGACCCCCGAGCACTGACCCAGGAGTAAGTCCTGAGCATTGCCCGTGAGCTCCCGAGCACTGATCCAGGAGTAAGTCCTGAGCACTGCCCAGTGAGACCCCCTAGCACTGATCCAGGAGTAAGTCCTGAGCACTGCCCAGTGAGACCCCCAAGCACTGGGCCATGAGTAATCCCCAAGCACTGCCCAGTGGGGCCACGCTGCCCCCCAGAGCATTGGCACCCGCGAGTCCTGGGGCTCACTGTGCGTCTTCAGCAGATGGGCATTGAACACAAATTTCCTTCTCTTATTTTGTTTGACATTGGGGGGGGTGCCCTAGCGCTGCTGAGCCCCCAGACGCTGCCCTGACTCCCAGCCTGCCAGGTTGGGGCCGTGGGACCCGTGATGTGGGGGGATGCTCAGGCTCTCGGCGCTGCCGGCTCCCACCTAACCGCACACAACACTGGGTCAGCCCGGGGTCGGCCCAGCTCCCGCCCTGACTCCGGCCCCAGACTCAGAGTCTCAGCCTTCACCAGGGGGGTCATGTTGGAGCATGAAGGTCAGGCCCTCCTGCCACTCACTGAGTGTCCCTGACACCGCTTCTGCGGGCTGGTCTCCTCTCCCCACAGGCCAGCACGGGCGGCTCCCCTGGAAGCTGGGACAGCCCTTCAGCCTGACTGGCCCCCAGGTGGCGCCTGTACCCGCTGAGACTCGCAATGCTCTGGGTGAGGAGCTCACGGCCCGTCTGTGGCCACTGCTGGGACTGGAGGGTGAGCGAGTCACAGGTGGGGTTTCACACGGCTCGAGTGGGCTCTGTTTAGACAAGGAAGCAGACGGGAAACGTTAGCTTTCAGCATTTGAGAAAATCACAGTGATTTCTGCTTTGCTTTCGCACCACATCCTGCGGTGTATGGCTGGATCCTGGCCCAGTGCTCAGGGATCGTCCCTGCGGTGCTCAGGGGAGGAGCTGTAGCCGGCCACGGGCAAGGAATGCAGCTTAACCCCTGGGCTTCTCTCCGGCCCACTGAGCAAACTACCGTTAGAGACACACACTCACTGAAATCTAGAAATAGTCTGAAAGATGAAAGTCGGTCACACTGAGGGGCTTGGCCGGTGCCGAGACCCCCCTCCCGCCCATGCTTTAGACAAGGAAGCGCCTTGTTGACTGAACTCCCTTGTTGACTGAATCGCGGGCCGCTAACACATCCAGCTGTCCTGGAAGGAAGAGAATGTTTGAAGTTCCCAAGTCCCGCGCCTCACTCCACGGCTCGAGTTGGAGCTGAGAGGAATCCCATTGAGACTCGCCTTTAGAAAGAAAGTTGATTAAAACCTCATAAAACGCCCTTTTCACTACAGAGGGGAATTGGATGAATTCTTCTTGGCTCTATTCAAAAACCAGGGAGGTTAATGAATTTCCAGCCAGCCTTTATCAATTGGAAACCCACCGTCCGGGCCTTGAATGTGGGGAAAGTTCTGGGAGCCTCGGGCAGGGGCTGACATGCTCGGTTAGTATTGGGGGCAGCAGTGCTCAGAACACCTGTCAAAGCTTAAGCACAAGAGTTGCTCAGCATTAAAACTCACGGCGCGTGTTTTTCCCCACTGCAGCTTCCGCAGAACACTTTTTTTTCACTTTTTTTTTTTTTAATTTTTAATAGTGAGACATCATGAGGTAGAGTTGCAGACTTACACATTTTTGTGCTTGGGTTTTGTGCTTGATCAAATACCCATCCCTCTACCAGTGCCCATTTCCCACCACCACGGATCCCAGTATCCCTCCTACGCCCCCCATCCCCCCCAATCCCACCCCCCCTCTGTTCTCTCTCTCCTTTTGGGTGTTGTGGTTTGCAAAAGAGGCATTGAGTGGCAATCATGTTTGGTCTATAGTCTACTTTCAGCATGCTTCTCCCATCCTGGGAGGATCCTCCAAACACCCTTTACTTGGTGCTCCCTTCTCTATCTGAGCTCCCTTTTCCCCTAGCATGTGTGGTTGGCCTCCAAACCATGGAGTAAAATTCCTGGTACTAATCTTGGCCGTTCTTGGGTGTTAGTCTCCTATTTTGTTACTTTATGTTCCCCAGATGAATGCAATCTTTCTATGTCTGTCCCTATTTCTGACTCATTTCACTTAGCATGATACTTTCCATGTGGTACCACTTGTATGTAAATTTCATGACTTCATCTTTTCTAACAGCTACATAGTACTCCATTGTGTAAATGTACCATAGTTTCTTTAACCAGTCACAGAACACTTTTTTTTAATTTTATTTTTTATTTTTGCCTTTTGGGTCACACCCGGCGATGCACAAGGGTTACTCCTGGCTCTGCACTCAGGAGTTACTCCTGGCGGTGCTCAGGGGACCATATGGGATGCTGGGAATCGAACCCGGGTTGGCCGCGTGCAAGGCAAACGCCCTACCCACTGTGCTATCGCTCCAGCCCCCCACAGAACACTTTCTAACTGAGAAAGATAGGTGAGTCACGGAGAGTCTCACCAGTATACACACCGCAGGTATCACCACCGGCCACGCGCCGAATGTCAGGGCTCCCAGCTTCCCCTGGACGTTCACAGACTCTGGTGGGTGGGTAAGTTCACCAACCCGAGGGGTGTGTGTCCTGGGAGAATCCAAGGAGCTTGGGAGAATGCGGGTTCGCTCTGAGGCTGCGTCTCACACGGTTTGACCCTGCGGCCAGGAGTGCACTTAGTTCCAGAGAAGTCAGCGGCTGTTATTGGGGACGGGCCTGGTTATCAGTAGCACCTTGGGCTTTCTGCAGCCTCAGGTTTTTGCCTCTCACTTTACCCTCTACCTGTTTAAAGATAATCTTGTTTGAAGATAATCTTATTTTCATCTGAAATTACTTTCTACCCAATCACCCGGTGCCTGGCCCTGCTGGCTGAAGGCCGCTCCCTGCCGGCCAGTGGGGGAAATGGGGAATCGCTCTCCTTGCTTCCAGTGGGCTCAGAGTGTTCCCAGAGGTGCTGCCCAGTGACCTTGAGGAGCTGACCCCTCCCACGATGCAGTCACCCTGCATTAGGTGTTGCCAATTAAAATACAGAAGCACTGCGAGTCGCATCCAGGAAATGAGGGTCCTGCTTCATTCATTTGGGGGTGTCGTCCTTCTCTGGACATCTGCTCCCTGCCACCCAGGAGAGCAGATTCCCAAGCGTTCCTCACTCCTGTGTCTCTCTCCTGGTCTCCGGTGGGGTGCGGCTGAGGAGGCACCAGCGTCTGAGCGCCCAGGGGTCCCCTCAGAGGCCCTGGGCCCGGGAGACAGTGCCTGGCTCTCGGTGGCGTCTCTGAGACATCGGAACTCCCTGGTGGGCGTCGTTGTGCAGAAGGGAACCCGAGTCACCACACAGCCCTGCACTCGCCGCCCCCACTCCTAGGGCAGATGCTGGGGGGCGGGGGGGAACTGTCCCCAAAGGCCACCTCTTGGGCACTGCCCTTGTTAGCTAGAACAGCAGCGTGGACTCGTGCAGAGAGGGACCTCAGAAGTCCTGGCTTGCAGGCCGGAGAGGGCATCTGTCCTGCCGCTTGATCCCTGAGCTCAGAGCCAGCAGAAGCGGAAATCACGACCCAGGTGGCCCAAAGCACAAGACAGAACACAAAGTTCTCACTTGCCCCCAGAGACATGAGCGAGAGTGAGGAGACAGTGTCCTTAGGGCAGGGGAGGTGCCTGGGACCAGTCCAGCAGGGAGGTACCTGGTGTCTGGGAAGGCAGCCTCTGATTCCCCAGCAACCCTTTGCCTTCGGAGATACAAGGGTCCCTTTCATTCTGGGGATGTTTTTCCTGTGATGTGTTCCTCCGACGAATATTATTATGCTAATTTCCCCTAGTTGTTTTGTTTCCAAAATTAGGAGGGCAAATTCCAAGGAAGGGGGAGGCTTGGGGCTCCCTCACCGCTAGGGTGCTCCGAAGCCCCAGCGGCCTGCCGCAAGGCCTCTGTGAGGAGGATGGGAAGGGCTGCCTCTGGGCCAGGCTGGCATGCACACAGTCAACACACGGGCAGCCTAGGCACCACACGGAAATGTGAAGCGCTCAGGCATAGCACAGGGCGTGCGGCTCCTTCCTGATGCATGTATGAGAAAAATAAGAAAAGATGTTGACAAGGAAAATAAAATAGAGTATTGCTTAGCACGTAGTAGGTTATCATAAAAGGTAAAGGTAAAGGCCCTCCCGTTGTTCATCGATTTGCTAGAGCGGGCCCAGTAACGTCTCCATTGAAGACTTTGGTGTTACTGTGTCTGGCATATCGCATACATCACGGGGAGCTTGCCAGGCTCTGCCGTGCGGGCGAGATACTCTCGGTAGCTTGCCGGGCTCTCCGAGAGGGGCGGAGGAATCGAACTCGGGTCGGCCATGTTGGCTGCGTGCAAGGCAAACGCCCTACTGCTGTGCTATCGCTCTAGCCCTTAACCTCTCTTAATTAGAAAAATAAACTTCCCAGTTAAGGCAGCTTGGCTTACAGTATATCCGGTGACTGCAGCCGCATGGCATCTGCCAGTGAGAGTCCCTGAGCCAGGCAACACTGCTCGTCTTCACTACTTAACTGCATCAACTCCTCGAGTAATAAGAGTTTTTAAGTCAGAATACTGTTTTTTCCAGGATATTTCTATTCTGCAGGGCTGTTAGAAGAGGAATTCTTTTATTTTTTTTTTAATTTTTTTATTAGTGAGACACCATGAGGTACAGTTGTAGACTTACAAATTTTTGTGCTTGGGTTTCAATTATACAGTGATCAAATACCCATCCCTCCACCAGTGCCCATTTTTCACCACCACTGATCCCACTTGGGGGACCATATGGGATGCCGGGGATCAAACCCAGGTCTGCCGTGTGCAAGGCAAACACCCTAGCCGCTGTGCTAGCACAGCGGTAGTGCGTTTGCCTTGCACGCAGCCAACATGGCCAACCCGAGTTCGATTCCTCCACCCCTCTCGGAGAGCCTGGCAAGCTACCGAGAGGATCTCGCCCGCACGGCAGAGCCTGGCAAGCTACCCGTAATGTATTTGATATGCCAAACACAGTAACATGAAGTCTCATGATGGAGACGTTACTGGGCCCGCTCGAGCAAATCGATGAACAACTGGAGGACCATGACTGTGACCGTGATTGATCCCACTATCCCTCCCTCCCCATCCCCCCACCCCCGTCCTACCCTGCCTCTGTGACAGGGCATTCCCCTCTGTTCTCTCTCTCCTTTTGGGTGTTGTGGTTTTAGACGCTGGCCTGGTATACGCCCTATAGAGTGGGAAAAGGGAGATTGTAAACGCTCAGGAAGCCCTGCCGCCCCCTCCATCTGCCCCTCACCTGCTCACCTGACGTGTCCCGCCAGGTGACAGACCCAGCAGATAGCTACACATTCTTCCCTGGGTCCCACACAAGCAGTAGACATACCGTGTGTGTGCATACGTGTGCGTGTGCATGCGTGTACATGAATGTGTGCATGTGTGCGGTGTATGTATGTGTGTGCGTATGTGTGTGCATGTATGTGAGTGTATGTGAGTGTATGTGAATGTGTGTGCATATGTGTGCATATATGTGTGTTTGTGCCTTTATGTGTTCATGTATGTGAGTGTGTGTGTATGCATGTGTGTGCGTGTGTGCATGTGTATAACGTGTATATGTCTATGTGAGTGTTTGTGTGTGTGCGTGTATGTGTTTGGGTATGTGTGTGCATGTGTGTGTGCATGTGTGTGTGTGTGTGGTGTCGGGATTGAACCCTGAGGACAGTCTCCCTGAGCCCACCAGACCCTGGGATGTCTCCAGTCCCTTTAGCCGGACCTGGGAGACTGCGGCTGCAGCAGCTGCTACCCGAGGCTATGGCAGGAACAGCTCTCCGGACTCCTGCCCTAAGCCCAGGGCTCTGCCCGGGACCCGCCTCAGCCAGCACACAGATGGCCCCCCAGCACACAGACAGACCCCCCATCATACAGACAGACCCTCCAGCATACAGATAGACCCTCCAACATGCAGACAGACCCCTCCAGCATACAGACAGACCCCCCAACACACAGACAGACCCCCAATACACAGACAGACCCTCCCAGCATACAGACAGACCTCCGTAGCACACAGACAAACCCTCCAGCACACAGACAGACCCCCCAGCACACAGACAGACCCTCCAGCACACAGACAGACCCTCCAGCACGGCCAGGAGGGGCACCCGGAGAGGCAGACAGGACATGAACAAGAGAAGTGGCCAGCCGGACGCTCTTGCCAGTGGCCAGAAGCCCAGAATGTGGCAACAGGAAGCTTGGAAGCTGCTGCGGCGGTTTGACAGGGGCCTTGGCCTACCTGGGGCCCCTCGCCTAAGGCATGTGAGACCGAATGAGCCCCTGGCGGGGTGTCAGGATGAAGATAGGCGTCTGCCTGCTCCCTAGGGCTCTGCTGGGGGGGTAGGAAGGAAGAGGGTGATGCGAGCACCTCTTGGGCCACAGAGTGTGGCTGCCCCCCTACCATGTGTTCTGACCGTCTGACCAGTCACGTGTCCCTCAGTTCCCACGTGAGTGGTCAGTGCCAGCGAGATGAGCGGGTGAACCCGGCCATGCGGTGACAGCCCTGGGCCTGGCCCACAGGACAGTGCAGGCACCTGCCCGGAGGGGACAGTCTCGTCCACACTGACCAGCCCAGGGGCCAGCCTTGAGGGGAGAGCGGGGAATAGGATGCAGAGCCCAGCCTAGCCAGGGCGCCTGGGGCTGCCCGTGGGGGGTGGGGCTGCCCTGCGGCTCCATCCTTCTCGGGCTGCAGTGTGGTTTGTGTTTGTTTTGAACCACACCCAGCAGTGCTCTGGGCTTACTTTACTCCTGGCTCTGTGCTCAGGAGTCATTCGTGGTGGCGCTTGGGGGACCCTCAGGTGTGCCGGGGATCAAACTTGGCTTTCTCACATGCAAGGCAAATGCTTGTCAGCTGTATTCTCTCTCCCCATCTCTCTTCCTCTCTCTCTCTCTCTCTCTCTCTCTCTCTCTCTCTCTCTCTCTCTCTGATTTGGGGCCACATAGGGTGGTGTTCAGAATTTACTCCTGGCTCTGTGCTCAGAGATCATTACTGCCAGCTTTGGGGACCCTGAGTGTGGTGCCAGGGACAGAACCCGGACCGGCCACATGCAGGGAGAGCACCCCCGCTGCCGAGCTATCACTCCAGCCCGCCCCAAATAGCCTCTTTCTTTGTGCTTCTTTTTCCTGGGGTACTGTGACTTACATACTGTTAATGACGGATTCCTGCATACATCATTCCATGACATGACCCCGACCAGCCAACCAGGGGTCACTCACCTTCACCAGAGTCCATCCCCCCATCTCCCCCATGCAAACTCAGTTCTGTGGACCCCCCCTCCCCCAGGTTAGCTAATTCTGTGGACCAGCTTCCCAGTTGTGTCCTTGGTGTTACTCCCCCCCTCCTTCTGTGCCCCCAGCCCCGTCCTGCGCCTAACCCCTCCTGCCTGGCTCCACCCGGCGAGGCTCCCATCCAGCCCAGGACAGGCAGCCGCACCCTCCCCCCCGCTGCGTGGCCGTCCAGGGGGGCTGTGATGGTCTCAGGGTGATGTCCGTGTCTAGAGGCACCCAGAGCTGCTGTGGCTGCCTCCCCCCAGGGCACCTGGAGAAAATCATCTTTTGTAAAATGTGTTTTAGGTTTTGAAATGAACTTGAACCTGAGCAGCGGAGGTGACCCCGGCGCGTCGGAGCTGGGCCCCGAGACCCGGGACAGGAACGCTAACAACCGCACCCCGGCCTTGTCCAACGTGCTGCCCGAGACCCTCGCCGCCGAGAACGGCAACTCCGTGGTCAACGGTGAGCGCCGCCAAGTGGCTGGGAAGACAGGGCTGCCCGCACTCGGGCCGGGGTTTGTCTCTACCCCTTAGGGGGGCGTAGGGTCTGTGACTTGAGAGGCGACTCTGGAGGTTCTGCGTGTCAGGCCGCAGGAACCGCCTGGGCAGAGCGGGAAGCAGCTCCTTGACCGTCTCACGTGTCCTCAGCCCTCAGCAGGCAGAGGCAAAGGTGCTGGAAGCGGGTGTTGCGTCAGGACGGGGTTGTGCCCAACGTCAGGATGCTGCTCTTGTGGCAGTGCTCACACCGCTGCTCCTATGGCAGTGCTCACACCGCTGGTGGCCCAGCCCACACGACAGCCGTCCCCGCACCCGGGTGGCCGTCAAGAGCCGGCAAACAGAATAGTGGCTGCGGGCAGGCTATTCTGCCCTGCTATGCCGCGGGGGGCGGGGCAGGTGGCTTGAAGCCTAGTGGAGGCCAGTGAGGGTCCACGTTCTAGACCCTTCCCCAGGGGCCAGGCGCTGGCTCTGCCGGTGAGGACACGGTGAGACACTGGGTGTGAGGTGAGAGGGGTTCAGCCCCGGCTGCCGGGTAAACGCCATCCTTGGTTAGAGGTTTCGAGTCTGATGAACCAGAAGTGGGAAGCAGAGCTTGGAGGTAGCTTTTCTGCTGTGGACCTGGGTCGTGGGCAGGCCCCAGTGACTGGGAAGTGAAGGCAGGGGTCACCCCGCAGGGCCACAGCTGCAGCCGAGTGGCCACCTCCCCCTGCTGGGCCACCAGATTTGCCCTTCAAGCCTACGTCTCCCTTGAGCTCATTTCTCACTCGCCTCTGGCTCTCTCCACTTGCCACTTTGGGGAAGCCAGTGTTCTCTCTGGAATACACAGTTCCTCTCTTTCTCTCCCTCCCCCCCCTCCCCCATCTTTCTAAGTCACGGTTACTGTCCTCCCGTTGTTCATCGATTTGCTCGAGCGGGCCCAGTGACGTCTCCATATCGAGTACGTCACGGGTAGCTTGCCAGGCTCTGCCGTGCGGGCGAGATACTCTCGATAGCTTGCCAGGCTCTCCGAGAGGGGCGGAGGAATCGAACTCAGGTCGGCCATGTTGGCTGTGTGCAAGGCAAACGCCCTACCGCTGTGCTATCGCTCCAGCCCATCTTTCTAAGTATTTTTTGTTAAATGAAAACTACCTTCACACATATGCTGCCTGAGCCCATGTGTGGCTTGTGCCCACGTGGCCAAGCACACGGGTCACCCGCATCTCCCCTCTTGAGATGTGGACTTTCATGCTTTCATGCTTTCATGTCTAATGCTGGGATGTGTGTAGGGGCTCTCTCTGCCCTCAGAGCAGCCCGAGTTCTCTCTTGAGTGCGTTACTCTCTCTCTCTGTCACTCTTTCCCTCCTTCCCTTCAAAACCTTCAAATAAAATCTATTTTACTTCAAAAAAAAAAAACTAACTTGCTTCACTGAAAAATGAAAACAACAACTGAAAACTAAAAACAACTCCTGGTTGAGACACAGAGCTTCACACAGAGCGAGAAGGAAGCAGACATATGAGAACCAGCCGCCCCGCCCCGCCCCACCCAGCACCGAGACGGGAATTCCACACACAGCATGGAGCACAGCAAGCTATGACGTCGACACAGGGATGGAGTTCAGAGGAACACGTGCACACCGGCGAGATCAGAGTGTGGTGGGATTAGCAGCAGAAGAGGAAAGACACAGAACTGTGTCAGATGAGACTTCTGAAATCGAAAAATACAGTTGTGAAACTCAGGACAGTAGAGGATGAGTTTGAAGTTAGTTAAACTCAATTGTTAGGGGCTGGAGTGATAGCACAGCAGGTAGGGCGTTTGCCTTGCATGTGGCTGACCCAGGTTCGATTCCCAACGTCCCGTATGGTCCCCTCAAGTACCTCCAAGAGTAATTCCTGAGTGCAGAGCCAGGAGGAACCCCCGTGCATCACCGGGTGTGACCCAAAAAAACAAAAACAAAAACAAAAAAAAAAACCCTCAATTGTTAAAAAAAAAAAAAAACAACAACAGAAGAAACAGTCCTTTGGAAAGAGGGAAAAGGAGACCGGAAATCCTCTAGAAGGAATTCGAAGCAACAGGGAAGAAGGATGGACAGTCCAGTCTGGAGACTATCTGCGGAAGTAGTCTTGGAACTCTCAGGAAAGCAGCTGTGGACAAGAAACAAAAAAGATTTGGTGGGAAATATGGGGGAATTTTCCCATCGAAAGTAGCCAGATGGGGCAGGAGAGACAGCACAGCGGGTAGGGCGTTTGGCGTTTGCCTTGCACACAGCCGACCCAGGTTCGATTCCCAGCATCCCATATGGTCCCCTGAGCACTGCCAGGAGTGATTTCTGAGTGCAGAGCCAGGAGTAACCGCTGTGCATCGCCAGGTGTGACCCAAAAAGCAAAAAAAAAAAAAAAAAAGTAGCCAGAAACAGACCGTGTGGGCAGTTTCTCCTGAAGCTCAGAAGCACGTGTCCTGGGCCACATCCTGGGGACCATCCAAGGGCAATGGCTCGTACATGAGCACCTCAAAGGCACATGGCAGCTGAGCTGAGGTCACCTGAAGCCAGAGATACTGAAGAGGGTCCCTCCCCAGGGACCCCGTGGTGCTGTGCCATCAGCCCCGATCTTGGGGCTAGTGTCTCCGTGGAGCTGATCTCAGTTCCTGTGGATGGTGGAGGGAACAGCACCTCGAGTACTGGCTCTTTATGCCCTAGCTCCCAAGGGTGCATCTCCTCCAAAGGCCAAGCATCCTCTGTCTGAGCCCCTGCACACACGGTCTTAGGAGACAACCAGTGGGATCACATATGCAAATGAGGGGCTCTCTGCCATCAGGACCAAGACTAGGATTTCCTCCTTTCTTTTTTTTTTAACTTCTTTAAATTTTATTTTATTTTTATGACGTTTTTCACAATAGTTCATTACAGATAATATTCAAACACCAATCCCACCACCATGTACCTCCCCACCACCTTAAGAGAAAAGTGTATGAAGATTGTTGGATTTCATCCTGAGCCATTGAAGCCCTGGTACAAGAGAATACAAGCATACATGTTAAACCCAAACAAACGTGTGCTATTTTTGGTACATCAGTGGGCTAGAGTATAAGAGGTCCAGGACATTCTGTGTTGCTCTCTTCCGGGAGCTTTATTTCATAGTCTCTGGGTCTTGGCCATTGATGAGATTACATGGCACCAGGGGCAGTTTGTGGGTGTGACTGCCAAGCTACTAGAGAACTGGAGAGCTGGGGGAGGGGGCCCAGTCCCTTCCTGCATGAGCTTGGAGATCTCAGTTGCGGATCCCACATACCCGGAACTTTCTCCAGGTTCCCTCATAGGTGAGGCTCATCTGAGCCTGTGGAGGGTGACCTTGAGCATGGCTGTATGGTTGGGTTCTGGAGGTTCTTGGCTCTTGGGGTTCTACTTGGGGGAGGGAAACTCAATGCGGACCACCCCCCCACCTCCCACCCCCCGCTGAATTGCCCTGGTGAAGACAGCCTGGGCCAGGACTGGGATGTTCTCTTGGATTTCCTCCTTTCTGTGAGGCTGGGGACCTTAATTTCTGGTTTCTGATCATCCTTATCACTGGAACGTGACCTGGGGGTTGGTAGCTGGCTCAGAGGATTGCAATTCCCAGACGGGATCGTAAGTCTCCATCCACCCAGGCAGCCGGCCTTGCAGCGAGCTTCCCAGAGTATGGCTTCCCAGAGAAGTGCCTGGACTGGAGGGGCCCCATCACCACCCTCCTAACTCCATCCTCACTGCAGGGTCCCACAAAGACACCAGGGGAACGGGTGGGGAGGGGGCGTTCCACAGCTGCAAGCCCAGAAGGCCAGGACGTTCGGCTACGTCCGTGGTGGGCACCAGCTGCAGAGCTCACGGGGCTGGGTGCTGTCTGCAGACGTGACTGCTTACAGGGAAGCACAAACCGGGGGAGGCACGAGAAAATCAATCATTTTATAAAAATGCTCCCGGGCATGTTGCAGTCAGATCCTGGGAAAATAAAGACCCAGCGTGAATCTTAAACAGCAGGCACGAGCTAAACAGAAAGAAGTCCTGGCAATGCAGTCTGTGGAAACAATCTAACACCCGCCAGAACAGAACAAGGAAAGGAACGGCCAGTGGCGTCCGAGCCAGGGGAGGAAGTAAAACTGCTCAAGTAAAACCATCAGCACCTGGAAGCTTCGAGACTAGAGAATGTATCATAAGGGTGAGGAGGAGTTTAGGATACTTAGAGAAAGAATAAAAGCTGGAAGAGTTAAGTGTGGGGAAGCTCAGAACTCTCGGGTGCCAGGAGGAATGAAGAGGGGCAGACCCAGAGGGCAAGGAGGAGAGCAGGCAGAGATTTCCCGGGCAGGGGTCTGGTGGAGCAGCAGATGGGACAAAGGTAGCGGTGTGAGGATGGAGCGATAGCACAGCGGGTAGGGCATTGGCCTTGCGCGTGGCCAAACTGGGTTCGATCCCCAGCATCCCATATGGTCCCCCGAGCACTGCCAGGGGTAATTCCTGAGCACAGAGCCAGGAGTAACCCCTGTGCATCGCCGGGTGTGACCCAAAAAGCAAACTAAACAAAAACAACAAGAACAACAACCACAACAAAAAGGTAAGGTGCAAAGAAAACAGAGCTACAGATCATCAGTAATAAAACCCAGAGGAACATTGAACAGCAAAGATCAACTGCCCACCCCCATGACAGAATGAAACGAGGTTCAGCGGGAGTATCAGCAGGGAGGGAAGCCTTTCTACTTAGGCACGATGAAGTGTTTGTCGAAACTATTCCTCTGTTGGGCTCCACTGAACCTCAAAGGAGGGTCATTTAGTGCAAATTAAAATCAAAGGTACACCGAGTTAATAAACAATTGTAAAGCCTAAGACTTCTGAAAGACTTCTGATGTAAACTTCAGGATTCCGAGTGTAAATGTAGAGGAACAGAAGAGGAAAGGATACACTGTAGAACTATCGGGAAACAAGAAGCATTCCTGTTACTTGAAGTCATAAGTTACAACTC